TATCTTCAGAAGATTAGCTTTAGGTGATGCCGTACGTGCCAACCATAACGTGATCCTAACTGTACTGTATCTATCTTCAGAAGATTAGCTTTAGGTGATGCCGTACGTGCCAACCATAACGTGATCCTAACTGTACTGTATCTATCTTCAGAAGATTAGCTTTAGGTGATGCCGTACGTGTCAACCATAACGTGATCCTAACTGTACTGTATCTATCTTACGAAGATTAGCTTTAGGTGATGCCGTACGTGTCAACCATAACGTGATCCTAACTATACTATATCTATATTAAGAAGACTAGCTTTAGGGTGATGCCGTACGTGTCAACCATAACGTGATCCTAACTGTACTGTATCTATCTTGAGAAATACGTGCCAAATGGTACTCCCCTGGAAGGAGTTAGGCTAAATAACGAATATTTCTAAACGTATGATAAACCCTTTGAGAAGTGGTTCTTTGTTTGAAAGATAGATAAGTTATTAACTTAATATTAATGTTTTTTTGAGATTCTTGTAAACAGATAAAACATACATTTTTGCAGACGTTTTATTTTTTCATGATTTTATGACTGCGGTAAACCAAAACACTAAAAGAGGTACATATATAAGTTTTATATATATAACAGTTATAAAAGTATATAAGCCATCAGTTGTGAGCTCATTTCATGTGTATTTTCTGAAAATACATAACTGTTTTGGCACAATTTACATGTGCTACCCGCCTTAGAAAGACAGTCCCACATTTTGACTTTAGGTTTGATTATTTACTGTTTGATAATAATGTACATTTTGGTTAATGTTTCTGTATAATTATGTAATAGTGATACCTGCTTGAGGCAGGCAGGTTTTGTTACATATTATTGAAGTACACGTGGTTAGAGGTGTTGAAATGTTTAATACTGGACAAACACTGAGACAAGTGTCAAATGAATGGTTTATACGTTATTTAACATGAACAAGATCGTCGAGAATGAACGAAAGCAATCGGATTAATTAACAGTGATCAAACGAAACAAAGATCAAACTTAATGAAGATCAAACGAAACAAAGATCAAACGAAACAAAGATCAAACTTAATGAAGATCAAACATAACAAAGATCAAACGAAACAAAGATCAAACTTAATGAAGATCAAACATAACAAAGGTCAAACTTAACAAAGGTCAAACTTAATGAAGATTAAACGAAACAAAGATCAAACTTAATGAAGATCAAACGAAACAAAGATCAAACTTAATGATGATCAAACGAAACAAAGATCAAACTTAATGAAGATCAAACGAAACAAAGATCAAACTTAATGATGATCAAACGAAACAAAGATCAAACTTAATGATGATCAAACGAAACAAAGATCAAACTTAATGATGATCAAACGAAACAAAGATCA